ACATGACGCTAAGCATCGGCCAATGAATGTGAACTAACAACTACAAGGTCGCGGGTATGGCTGCACTGTAGGAAAAAACCCTAATATGAAAGTATTTTACTGCATTTTACAGTTTTGTTCTGTTCTTCTAGAATATCATTAAGGTTACGTAAATAGACTGTGAATTCACATTTCGAATGTAAATTAACGTTAAATCACTGTAATGTAATACAACATAATATTCATGATTGCCGGAATATTACCGTTTTTTTAGGATTTGTTTTTTTTTCCCTATTTATAGATAATTTCATTGTTTAATCACATTAACATGTTCCTAATTTAATGTTTAAGATCACTTGAAAAGGCAAGATCCCATGTAAAATTAGCGCAACAAACTGTATTGTCATTACTGGAAATAACCGTATTTTTATGAGGAAGTTATTTTTTGTTATTTTACGGTAGTATTTAGGCGCCCCAGCTGCCAGAATATTACCGTTTTTTAATATGTTTTTTTTTTTAACAGTGTACATTGTATTGGCCCCATCATTGTGAGCAGGACACGCAGCGTGTTAGAGGGGTCACCTTTATGCCCCCATTAGTTGCCCCATGGCGGCAAAATGCTGTCAGAAGTCTCCTCACTTTAAGAATTATTAACAGCTAATTGGTCCTAAATAAGTCAAAAATAATCCTTCGAGAAGGTTCCTTGGTGGCGTGGGTGCTGTAATCAGCTTTGGTGACTGTTGTGACCCCACTCCTGCCTCTTTGGGCCTGAACCTGAACTGATATCATATCTACCCAAAGCCCCTTGGCCCCGGTGTGGGAGTCATCACATGATGGCATCATGACCTATCCCGCCGCTGCCCAGCTTCCACATGAGGGACTGAGGGGAATGAGGTGAAAAAGGCTCAACCTTAGTGGCTTATCCCTTCACCCTGGGAACCGCTTAGTCCTGTCATAACCTGTAAATAGTTTCAGCTTAAAACATGTCTTGCTTTCACCTTTTTTCCCCTCCATTCAGTCATCTCACCCCAGGATCAATTCAGGAGGACATAACCTTAGCATTTTCTGCTCACTTCAGTCCTTTGTACCCATGTTTTTGTTTTGTTTTTTACCCCCAAAAGTTGAATTTAGTTTTTCCATAAACACAAACTGGTAAGTTTGGATTAAACTGGACTTCAGGAGGTTTTAAGGTTTTTTATATAACAACATATTGAATGTGTATGTTGTAGGCACAGAAGTCATCACGTTGTCTAAATCTCTTACGCAGCTGGGAGTCAACGTTTTCCTCGCTCTCATCGTGGGAGCCATTTTCTTTGGGGTCAAAGATGATCAGAGTGGTATTCAGAACAGGTGAGAGAACTGCTCTCAACACTGAGCTGGAGTCACATAATAATATTTTACAAAATGTTCTGAGTATGTAATGTGACTGTCCTGCTGTCATCTCCAAAAAAAACCAAACATCTTCATGGCTAAATAATTTGTACTTTGATCATTTTAATGTTGTGTGTTATTTGTTTATTTAAAGCATTCCTATTGTCTAAATGCCACAGCAGCTAATCAGCTAATCGCTCTCACTTATAATACTTATTACATCGGTGTAATTTAGCTGGTTTAATACATATGGCACTCCATGAAATGCATGTAATAATGTAAAGCTCACACAGCAAAATTCCTTTTGTCTCTCATCGTGTGCAGGCCAATAAATACCTCATCATACTCTTATAAAATCGATGTTTTTATTAACTGTCACATTAACACAGCCCTCGGCCTGTTACTGCAGTATGACTGTTACTTCCCCATCGGGTCTTGCAGTTATCGCAGTAAACCATCTGATTTAGAGGAAATGTCGGCACGTGTGAGTGAACAGTGCAGCTTAAAAAAATGCTCGCCTCCATAGTCGGGCTGTGAGACGCAGCGATGTGGTTCAGATATGGGTTTAATACACTTGTAAAAGGTTCATTTAAGACTACAAACCAGTCAGCTAACATGAAAAATGTCAACCTAAGATTTGACGCTTCAGTCATAAAATGTTTAAGCTATATTCGTGGCTTGGTTTAGTAATGCTTCGTTGATCGCTTAAGCCTGTAAAATAACATTTGGGTTGCCAGTTTGTAGAGTGTCTTTCTTTAGCATGGTACTTCACTTGAAGACACAGTGTGTCTTTGCTTCCCTCTTTCCAGATTTCTTGTGTGTGCCTCATGTCAGCGAACTGAGCGAATCCAGCAGCATTCGTGAGGAAAATTACTAATAAGCAATTTATTAATTGTTTGGACTCTACATATTTTATAGATGATGTTTTCCACAATATGTAAACCCCAAAACTCTTTTTTAATGCGCTGCAACTACAAAAAATCTATATCGATGGGCAAATGTTTAAATTAGTAGCTTTAGTAGCATTTATTTTTATTAGTAAGTCGTTGCTTTAAACTGGACTTCTTTTATTGTTTCATTTTAGGTTGTTTTGTTTTTATTTTTTAATACTATGCATTTACACGCTAAAGGCAACATGTTTCCCCATAAATGTTCAGGTCAGTGACCGCTTCTGGTGAAAAAGTGTGAAAGGTAATTCCCGCTCGGTTAATCCTCTTACTGTTTTTTATTGGGCACAACCTGGTACTCGCAAGTCCAGCGAAGCCCATCAGAGACCTCAGTGGTCTCCCTTTTTCCTTTCAGTAGTGTACAGGGACCTAATGTGATTATATTCAAGGTCAGTGCACATGCAGAATGGCAGACAGCCCGTACGTGGCTTAAATGTCTCAAGTTTCTCACCCCTCCTTCATCTTTGCTTGGTGTAGGGGCTAATATTGGGGCAACAACAATCAGCATCAACAGTCAGCGTAGGAAAATCAGCAATGAGGGAAAAAACCCAGAAAACAAACGCAAAAGAAATTTGTGAGGAGTCGTGTGAAATATTGCTCAGATTGGGAGTCTGTGCTCAGGACATCGGTGACAAACTACTGCAAACATTTTCAAGTTTTCAAAGGTCACGTTACAGTATGTAAGGTCTTTAGTCTTTATTCTGCTCTGAACATGACTGTTTTCTTAACAGTTCAGTACTGTGCTGAAATTCTTGAGCCGCCACTCACTTCTTTATGTTTTGCTAAGAAAATGTGAAATAAGTACAGTGATTTGTGCAAACTCCATACAGTATATTCTGTACAGAGTTTGTACAATTCCCCATACTGAAAAGTCAATATTTGGTCTGACTACCATTATTCTTCTACACAGCCTGAACTCCTTTAGGCAAGCTTTCTTACCATTTCTTTAAGTTATCTTTGGGGATAGTTCTCCGGGCTTCTTGACGGACATTCAAAGGTCTTTGGATGTTGGCTGGCTTTTGTTCTGTTCTCTGTCAACATCATAATGACAAAGTCTGGGCTCCAATAGTTCCCCAGGCTTTCTGAAAGACCTTCAGAAGATCTGGAGAACTATTGCTCAAGAAACTCTGGCTCTTTGAAGGCAAAATATAAGGAAATGAGGAGTGGCTCAAGACTTTTGCACAGAGCTTTGTCTTTGCTTCTGTGTTGATTGACAGGTTGGAGTCTCATGTTATTTTTTTTCTAAGACTTTTCCTGGCAAGCATCCTATACAGGTCTTATCTGTGCAGTCTCTTTTTGAGTATAGCGTGCACTTTAAGTGTTGTGCTGTCCGAGAGGTTCCAATTCCAACTTTATTTATACAGCACCAAATTACAAAAACAGTCGCCTCAAAGCGCTTTCTATTCCAAGGTAGACCCTACAATAATGCCTACAGAGAAAAACCCAACAATCACATGACCCCCAGTGACCAGACTTTTGCTTTTCTGATTGCTCCAGGATGGGCGCCCTCTTCTTCATCACTACCAACCAGTGTTTCAGTACTGTGTCTGCTGCCGAGCTCTTCATCACTGAGAGGAAACTCTTTGTGTAAGTTCTCCATCAGGACGCCGTATACGTGTGTGTGTGACTCTAGATTGAACTGTTGCTTTATGTGTTTCTCTCGTGACAGGCACGAGTACATCAGCGGCTACTACAGAGTGTCTGTCTACTTCCTTTCCAAGATCCTGTCTGATATCGCTCTGCGCACCGTCACCTCTGTTATCTTCAGCTGTGTTGTCTATTTTTTGATTGGTGAGACTTTTATCTATTTATCTATTTTAATTTTTGCATTTAAATTTAAATAAATGACATCAGTGTGTAAAAGCGCACAAAACTGTGTGTCCAACCAGGGCTCAAATCCACAGCAGAAGCCTTTTTTGTCTTCATGCTGACGGTGACTCTGGTGGCTTACACAGCCACAGCCATGACCATGGCCATCTCAGCTGACCAGAGTGTCGTGGCTCTTGCCAACATCCTCATGACCATCACCTTTGTCTTCATGATGGTAAGAGATACAGCAACCCCATGACCCACATAAATAAGTTGGAAGGGAGAAGGAGTAAAGATGACATCTCCGTTTTTTGTTTTAGGCAGCTTTAGGGTTTTTTAAAAAAAAAAGAAATGAGACATTTTAAACAGAAGACTCACTGATGACATAAACTCACTGGTCACTTTAACATCAGATGTGGTTATAAAGGGATGGAGATGGTCGGCTATGCTGGGGTGTGGTCTTATTCAAGGTTTGATGTGTCGTGCATTCAGAGATGCTCTTCTGCACACTTTGACTGTCACGAGTTGGTTGCTGTTGCCTGCTCAGCGCAGCCTGACCATTCTCCTTTTACTTTTGGCATCAACAAAGCATTTTCACCCAGACCTGCCATTCACTGGATATTTTCTCATTTTTTGAGATTGCTGTGTGGGCAAAACTTCACTTCAATCACCTTTCTTTCCCATTCTGATGCTCAGTTTGAACTTCAGCAGGTCTTCTTGACCTTGTGTACTTGCTTAAATGCACCAAGTTGCTACTACGGGGTTGACAAATTAAGTATAAGAACGGCAATGCCTAATGAAGTGGCCAGTAAGTGCATTTTAAATGATTGTTGATTGATTTCTTAATCAATAGCAAAATTTTCCAGAAAACATTGACTATTGAATCTATATCTGACTAAGTCTCAATAAGCAACACAGATCTATTATATTATCCGTATATTATAATGAACAATAGACAGTTATTCATCTACGTTTTACTGTCTGATAGTAAAAGCTCCCGTGAGACTAATGACATCCTGCATCTGGACTTTGAAACATTTAGATGTGTTTGTAAGTCGTGTTATGTCAGCTCTACCCTCCAGAAAAAAGACATCTAAACTGACTTTGTGTCTGCTAGATTTTTTCAGGACTCCTGGTGAATCTACCCAGCACCAAAGACTGGTTGGCTTGGCTGAAGTACTTTAGTATTCCTCGTTATGGTCTTGCAGTAAGTCAGCATTAAAGGTTTTGACAGCAGACGATGCAGATATTTAGAGAAAGTAGCAGAAACAATTCAAAATTCAGACAGAGGTTATCACCTCAATGAAATAAATACACATCACAGACAACCTCCTTCACATATATGTTTTAGCAGTTTTAGTTTTAATTGTCTGTAAGTGTGTTTTTATTGAACTGGGGTTGGACCTGAACTGGGCTCTAAACTTGATGTTAGATGGCTGAATGCATAGACTTAAACAGACTTCTCTGATTTTAACTGTTGGGTGTTGCACGTTATACCAAACATACATGACCAAGTGGATAGCCTACTGATAATGCACTTTAAAAACCCCATGTATAGTAACTGTCATGTTTGAAGATGGAGCCAAACTCAAAGGAGAGGTTTAAGGCCAACAAACTAGGGACCAACTGACCACAAGCACAGCTAAAGACAGCGTGCATGAGACAAGAGACTTTAAAAATAAAACAGGAAGTTACTTTATATGGCAACATATACGTGAAAGGGGAGTTGAGACCCAAAAGAGAATAGCTACATTACATTTATTGTTTTAAAATGGAACAAATGATCTGCCAAACGCACCATTTTGTATTTAAATTGTTCTGCTAAGGATTTAATGCTCTGCCTCACCTGCTGTCTTTGTTCAGGCCTTGAAGATAAACGAATTTGTGGGTCTGAGGTTCTGCGAAGAGGTTGTAATCCGAAACAGCAACATGTCAGCTATGACAGCCAACTGCACTGTGAAAACAGCTGGCCAGACGTGAGTAATTGGTCCAGTTCTGTCTTACTGGTTAACAACATGTTGTATTGTGGCTCTAATATCTGACCAGTTTGAACATGCCTCATTTCAGATGCACAGGAGAGCAGTATCTGGAGTACCTGGGCATAGACTACACCTGCTGGGGTCTGTGGGAGAATCATGTAGCTTTGACTGTTATGATGATCATATTTCTCATCATTGCCTATCTGAAGCTTCGCTTCATCAAGAAATTTACTTAATGCGTTATCTGTTTTTTACTTTAATGTACCAGCACTGATAGATCTTGTGTTCAGAAATAGCACAATTAAAGCTACATTTATATATTGGGGGTTTAGTTTTATTTTACACTGCCCTCATATCTTTAGCATATAATGAAGCCAAAAGAAAGTTAGAGTACAAGTGCAAATACTGAAATAAAAAGCTGAAAGCAGCCGAAAACAGCTAGCTAAACTTTTCTAGAGTTCACGTTTTCACCATTAGTCTCCCTGTAAAGCTCATAAAATCTTATTGTGTGTTGTGTTCAGCTGCTCATTAACCCTTTTACGCATAGTGGTCACTACAGTGGACAGCTATTCAAACACTGTTTTCTTGTATTCATATCAGTGTTGATGGTACACTTGCACATAAACCACTATATTGGACACTGATGATGTGTCACTCCATACCCTGCCGCTCACTCTAAAGGTGATGTTGTCATGTAAAAAACTATTTGAAAAATACACGTTTAAAAAATGAAGTTCAAAAATCTTTTTTTCATGCCTAAAGATAAATAAAAATACTGATTAAGGTTGTCCTAATCAATCACATGGTAGCAACTCAATGCATTGATGCATGCAGACATGAACAAGATGACCTGCTAAAGTTCAAACAGAGCATCAGAATATAGAGGAAAGGTGATTTAACTTGAACATGAAATGGTTTTTGGTACTAAATGGATTGGTCTGAGTGTTTCTGAAGCTACTCATCTACTGGGATTTTCCCCACACAACTATCTCTAGGGTTTACAGAAAAAAGTCAGAAAAAATAGAAAATATCTATTGAGCAGCAGGTCTCTGGGTGAAAATGCCTTCTTGATTGCAGAGGTCAGACATTCAACAATATCCAACTTGTTAAAATCAAAGTGTACAGAAGAGCATCTGTAAATACATGACAAACCTTGAAGCAGGTGGACTACAGCAGCAGAAGACCACATCACAGCCTACCTGTGTTGCTCACCCTGTCCCTTTTGGATCGCAGTGTACCCATCTTCTGATTGCTGCTTCATGCAGGATAACACACCATATCACAAAACTCAAATCATCTCAAACTGGTTTCTTTAACATGACAGTGAGTTCGCTGTGCTCGAATGACCTCTACAGTCAGCAGATCTGAATCCAGTACACTATATTTGGGACGTGGTGGAATGGGAGATTGATGTGAGCTGACAAATATGCAGCAGCTGTGTGATGCTATCATGTCAGTATAGACCAAAGTCTGTGAGGAAAATTTCCAGCTCCTTTTTAAATCTCCCCAACAAAGAATTAAAGCAGCTCTGAAGGCAAAAGGGGTCCAACCCAGTACTAGCAACCTAGTGGAGATGCCAGTGTGTGTATTTATTGTGCAGATATAAAAGTACCAGTATACCAAGTGAGCAAGTATGGCTGTTTCCCAAAATATCAAAACCTAGTTGTTGGTTCCTTTGTTTACTGTTATATAAGTTTAGTCTGGATAAAATCTTTGTGGGTATAAAAAATTGTGAGTCCAAAACAAACTAGACAGAATATTTTCAAATTATAGGATCAAATTGTGAATTTTCCAAAGTGAAAAAGTGTAGAAATTAAAAAGTATACTGGCCTCAAAGTAAACTTTCAAAGCTGTTTATTAATATTTACTTCTGCAGCATTTGTCAGTTTGTGACTTTTTCCCAATACCTTTGTAACTCAGTTGTTTTGATTAAAGTTTCCAAATTATACTTATTTAATTGTGCTATTAATTTTTCATAATATAATTAAAAGCTGATCATTTGTAATTGTAGACATTAAAGCATTACATCAAGTGGCTTTATCTGTTTTCCAAAGCAAAACTCTGTAATACATTTATATTCTGTTAGTTTTTTCATACCGTGTATAAAGATCTTCATGTAACTTTTGGTCTTGTGTTTTTTTTTTTATTATTAATGCATTAATTATTATTAATACAGTTATAAACCTTAGTGTAGTTACCACACACCAAAACCATGATGTAAATTCTCCTGAAATAGAAACTTTTTTTTTTTTACGTAACTTTAAATCAGTGTATGTGGAAGAATTTGAAGTACAAACCAAATTTTGGTTACTGAAAACCTTAAAATGTGTAAAATATCTTTTAATTTAACCTCATTTGCAAATAAATGTCAATGTACTAAAACTGCTGCATCTAAACTTTCTCGTTCTTAGACAAATCCAAAATGACTTTTGGCCTACTTTTCAGTTCACTCCAATTTTATTTATATAGCACCAAATCACAGCAACAGTTTCCTCAAAGCGCTTTAATTTGTATGGTAAAGACCTACAAATAATACAAGGAAAACCCAATAATCACATTACCGTCTATGAGCAAACACTTGGAGACAGTGGAAAAGAAAAACTCCCTTTTAACAGGAAGAAACCTCCAACAGAACCAGTCTCAGGGAAGTTTGTGGGTGCAGTTTATTTTCTGTTCAGATCAGTAGACAGTATGACTATTATTTGATTCTGCTTTGAAATAATGACTCATCTGTAATACTGTATATAATATGTGATTTCTCTCTCTTTTTATATATATGTTTTCTTGTAAAGTGAGATAAACCCAAGTGAAGTCCCCCTGATGTATTATGATAACACTTTATTTGGCACAACAGATTTCTTTTTGTTTTTTTTAAAAAAAGGAAAAATAATGCATGGGTTTCCCATGAACACTGGATGCACTCCAAATCGAAGTTTGTTTAAAGTTACAATATGTATCATAAAACGATAAGCTAATTCATTGGAAGGATGAGTAAATGTGACAGGAAGTGCCACGCTTGTACCTACTGCATATTAAAATGATGAAAAAAGTAATCAGCAACATTATTATTCATAGAAAGGGCTTTTGTGTAAATGCTAATAATTGTGCATACAGCGATCGAAAGCATGTAATATTAAAATCATACACTGAATTCTGAATATACTTGCTCGCTGGTACATGCGTGTGTAATACTGTGGTGTAATGATTAAATCCTTCACTGTTCCTCAGCACCTTGTCTGTTTTGTTTACCTTTCGTCATCTGTCAAAATAATACGTGAGACTGAGTAAAGACCCTTTGCGTGTGACAGCCTCTCTCTTTCAGTGCATTTGTGTATACCAGGTGAGGTGCATTTGACTTCCTCTCTAATATGTCGAGTAAGTTAAACACCTTCCATGAGCTTTAGCACATTCTGCTGCAAAACAAAGACCCACATATTAAGTTAGGATCCAATAAAGTTTCTTTGCAGAGTTCAGCATGCCAAGTCTTCACACATGGCTGCTCCCATTCACGCCTGTGTCGAGGCCGTCGGTGGACAAGGACGAGGAAGGGCGAGGCCGCGGGCCAACAGGAGTGGCCGGCTGTGGGTGGCTGACCTGTGAGACCATATCATCGGACTCCCAGCGCTCCAGTTCCTCCCTGACGAGCCTTTCCATCTGCTCTCTGTGTGTGTCTGTGTCCCGCCCCAGATGTTCATCCTGACAAACGGAAACAGATTAAATGTCAAACTATGTTAACGTCAGCTCAACCCACACGTATTCATCTCGTGAGTTTATCCAGTTAACTTATAATAACTCATTCTGAGCTTCTTCCTGAATGTAAGGCAAGTATTTAAAAAAAAAAAAAGACTCTTGCTTAAATCCTAAATGTTCGATAGTGTTCACCACAGTGTTCATCACTGTTCGAGGGAGTGACTGAGAGTGATGAACCAAACAATAAAAAATACCTAAAAACCTCAAAAGCTAGAATACAGTTTTAAAACTCAACTGAGGGGAGCTGCAGGGTGCAATTCAGCCATAAGTCAACACTACAAATGACGCATTCAGTCATGTGATAACATTATTAACATAATAACATATTAACACCTCACCTCCATGACTCCATCCAGCAGCCTGCTCACCACGTCTCTTCTTTTAAGATTAGCTCTCTCCATGACTTCCAGCTTGACAATCACTGAATCGATCTTCGACACTATGCTGCCGATAGAGTGCTCCATCCTGTCCACGCGTCTCACCAGCCTGCACAACAAAGAATGATTTTCTCTCTTGTTGTTAAATGTCATATAGCGCTGCAGCTGCTATCACTCAGAACAGCATGAAATACTACGACGTGACACACAATACCCATTTTTGCCTGCCAACATTAGCTGATGAGTTTAGCTGATGACAAAATTAAATCATTATTACATTATTAGTCTTTGTGTACAGCACGTGTTGGCAGATATGCAAAGGGACGATGCTAACACATCTGCAGTAATACAGATGCAGTTTCGCTAATGTCCAGTGCTGCATATACACCGATCGGGCATTTCTTTATCATGGCCCCTGTTAGTGGGTGGGATATATTAGGGAGGAAGTGAACATTTTGTCCTCAGAGTTGACGTGTTAGAAGCACAAAAAATAGGCAAGCATAAAGATATGAGTGAGTCTGACAAGGGACAAGCTGGACAAAAACTGCAGCTCTTGTGATGTGTTCCTGGTCTGCAGTGGTCAGTAACTATCAAAAGTGGCCCAATGTGAACCAGTGACAGGATGATAGATGGTAAGGCCAAAATGATGCATGTGGGGAGTGAAGGCTGGCCCGATGCATGTGGTGTGATCTGATCCAGCAGATGAGCTACTATAGCTCAAATTACTGAATAAGTAATTCCCCAGATCTCAGTCTAATCAAGCATTTGTGGGATGTGCTAGACAAAGTACTCCGATTAGGGATGGGTTCTGACATAAACGGTAGTAACCAGACCGAAAAGCAGCGCACATTTCGGTGCTTTATTTCGGTGCTTTTTTTTCCTGAGCTGTGATACACTTTAGATTCTAGCCAATCATTTTACGTTTCCGAGGATAGTAGGCGGGGCCAGGTATGTACGTTCTGTTAGAGCAGAGCTACAGATTAAAATGCCCAAGGCGAAAAGTCTGGCTGTACTTCATAGCAAAATATGCAAACTCAGCAGCAACAAGTGCTTTAAGCTGATACTGTGATACTGTCAAAGGAGGTAACACCTCAAATCCGATGAAACACCTGGTGACGCATAGCGTTTTTTTTAAAAGCCGAGAAATGCACCGTATTTGATAGCTTGCTGCGAGACCTCACACCGAGCGCATCTACTGCGGGTGGGTTGCCTGTTATGCAACATCCCCCAAAAACACGAAGAGGAGAGTCCTGGCCCCTAGCCCTGCCAGTGTAGCAGAAATGATGACGGATGATGGAGGCAGCAGCCGTTCTTCTCTGCGTGAGTAGCTAATTTACGTTGAGTAGGCTAACCACGTTATTACATTAATGCATGTAAGGTGAACTAGCAAACATCATCATAGCTACATGCAGCTG